TAAAACTGGAAATTAGGGTCTGTCGTAGAGAACTCACCGCCAGGAAATCAATCTCGAGGATCATAAAGTGCAAGCCAAGGCTCATGACCATAGCAGCGACCAGCCAGAGGTTTACCCACGGCGGCATGACCACAAGCGACTGGTTCTCAGAAAGACTGTAAAATTAAGTACAAGGAGTCAATAAATGGCTCACATTGTGCTAAAAATGGCAAATTTTCGGATTATGTACCTATATGTCAAGCAGTCAGAATTATTAGCGTGCAAATTTACTGAAACCGCAACAAAGAATACAACAAAAAGAGAGAACTAGGCATCTCACATGCTTCTTTCCGCGGTTAAATGTAATAATTCTGATGAATGAGTTTACTTTTCATTGACTATTCTACAATCACCCGTGAAAAGTTTAGTCTGAACTCCGTAAGAGAACGGGGGAGAGTTTACTTATTCCGGTGGTACTTATGCCACGGAGCGCAACCAGTAATACTACTAGTATTCCTTTAAATCAGGAATTGCCACCGTAAGTTGGTATATAAATATAAACTATTATTTACATGCTGGAACAATTTCTCACCACTTCGTACATGTCCCTATCCCTGATCATTGGTAACAAATGTTCCACTTACTCGCGATAAATCTGCGGTTTATTTAGCAAGTATTAACGTCGGTTTCTTCTAAGCGAAGGTATTCACAAAGAATAAAATAAAAACTTCAATTCTTATTTCGCATTTAAAGATGCGTTTAATTGAATGTTCGCAGGCTTTGCAAGCGTTCTTAAGAAACCTGCTAACCGCCCCGGATTTTGCGTAAGCACTTTGATAATAAGAGACAGTATTTCCACGAGGTTTCCCGCAAACTGCCTGGAAAGCTGGATGGGAAGAGTTTAACCGAACGTCGACAGTAACTTGATGATATATAGTATATCCGTCAACATTGTTGCCCTACAATGATAATGTTTTCAGTTTTATGAGTTCTTTCAATGTTAACTGGATTTCGGCGACTGCTGCATGCTGCACGCGTTGTGCATCAAGTTTGGTCGTTAAAGGTCCAAAGAGAGAAGAAGAAGACTCAATTACTTCCTGGGACTTTCATGTTCGCTTGTATTCGCAAGGTCCGAATAGTCAAGTGTCCAGCAGGATGGTATCTTATTATCGAAGCAGTACACCGGAAGCGGCGCAATAGAGCGTTCAATATTTTGGTCCTGAAAGCCATATCGTATTTCATGGCATCGAATGTAGGGTATATTGGTGAATACCCAAT